TCCTAACTAAAATCGAGGAATAGTGTTAATCCTGAGGAAATCTTGGAAGCAAGGTGGATTATTTGTGTCATGGAAATTGACCCTTAAGTCTAGGAGCTTGAGGGTAAATGTTCATACTGGGATAAAACACAAGTCTTTGGGTCTGCCTGAGAGGGGAAGTTAGAATAACATATGCACCAAGTCAGGTCTGTAATTGGCTTTGCCCTCAGTGAACTAGAATGACTCTCACTGACTCATGGAGAAAGATAAAAAAAAATCTCCCATGAGAACCCAAATCCTCAAATTGTCATGAGCTGGTTGGCCAAATGTATACTACTACATAGTATCAAAAATGCACTAGTGAAAATTAACATAAAAGTCAATCCCAAGCTAGGATGCACAGGATATCTCAAAAAGTAGTCATTGTTTGCTAAAACAGGGAGTACTCTGAAGAATTATATGAAGAACTTCTAAAACATTTTCAATTGTCTTAGTTAAACATGCTATTAAAGAGAACCTTTTAAAAATGGGAAAATAACAATTGACCAGTTTCAATCTGTTTATGAAATGATTACATTAAAATTTTAATACTTAATAAATTGACTTGTGTTAAATGCTTTTAAAGACAAAGTACAATTTATATGAAACAAAGTGGTATATAGAACTAAAGACTATGACATCAAAGCCCACAGTGTTTTACTAGCTTCCTGAATTTTATAATCTTCAGGAAGATTCTATATTTTACTAGAAATATAATTAATGCTTGTTTTTTATGATACTAAAGAAAAGTTTCAGAAGGATATTAAATAAATGCAAATAGATAATGAAAAATATAAGGTTTTTTCTCCTATAAGAGAAGAAAGTAAGCAGCCATCTTAAAAGTTTTAACCCAGTTCAATATTTCCATTTTGGGCACAGTGAGAAAACGCAATACAAATTCAGGTTTTCAGCTTTTCTATTGTATACCATTTCTACTTTTTATCCTTCTTAGAATTATGAAATGCTTTGTTATGCAAAATTGAAAACTTATTATAAAAACTAAATAAGCATGTTTAATCCCCAAATACTCATCTACCTGTAAAATTTGAGAACATGCTTATTTTATATACTTTCTTCCTATTGTAAAAATATTTTATAAAACATTGACTCCATAAGCGCTATAACAGAAATAGTATTTCTTTTTTTTTAATTTATTTTTTTGACAGAGAGAGATACAGTGAGGGAGGGAACACAGGTAGGGGGAGGGGGAGAGGGAGAAGCAGGCTTCCTGCAGAGCAAAGAGCCCGATGCGGGGCTCGATCCCAGGACCCTGGGATCATGACCTGAGCCAAAGGCAGACGCTTAACAACTGAGCCACCCAGGCGCCCCCAGAAATAGTATTTCAATGAATGATAGTCTTTAATTGTTCACTGCTTCTTTTCCCCTAAATTTCAAGTAATATAAGCCAAAAATGGAGATAACCCCAATAAATCCAATTTAAAATAAATTGTAAAAACATCAAAATATAGGCGAGTTATGTGTGAACAACAAATGAACTCTTATTATAACAATTAGAAGAATTCATATTGTTAAATGTGAAAAGTCCTTGAATTTAGAGTCTAGTTGAGAAATGTGAGAACAGAATGAAGTATTTCAATTATATTCTGGGTTTTCTTTGAATAAAGCCACATGGATACTATTGATAAATTCTTAGTAAAATATCAAGTGGACTAATGACAACCAAGTGGGTAACTGTAGCTATAAAAAAGAGTTTGCTTTAAAACATTTGTTAAAATTTTGAAAGTTTTGATATTGTTATGTGTATTATAATTATACATTAATGCAATATAACATTTCAGAATTCTCAAGCATCTATTACAACTATATTCTATGCCTTAGAAGTAATAAATATTGGCTAAATCTTGCTTATAATTGCATTCAAACATTATTAAAATTTTCTATGGAAAACAGACTAATACTTAAACACCGATAATTCTTTCAGTGTTATTTTAGGTCTCCATTGCTGTTTTCCTTATATTTAAGTGAAATACATAGAAAAAACTCCTAACCTAACAATTTTTGGGGGGAAGGGGATAACAGAAATGTTAATTTTTATATTTTATAAGTACTTGTGTGTCAAGTTTTTGGTTAAATTATCTTATTTGAAAACTTATGAAGCAGGTAATTCTATGTTCATTTTTGAGTGAGAAAACTGAACCTCAGAGACTTAGCTGAATATTTGCTTACTTTAAACCATCTGTAAATAGCCAAGTCAAGACTTGGGTACATTGCCTCTGGAAGTTCTTATGAATTGAACCAAGTGAAGAAGACACATGGGGGAAGAGGAAAATTTGGGAACAGAAGAAATGCCATTTTAATGTTTATCAGTTGATTGTATAGAGTATACCTGCCTAAGATAATGTCTATGAAAATGTTTCTGACCCTTCTCAGAAGTTAGTCTGTGAGACCACCTTTCTTAAACACATATTCATGAAAATTAATGATTTACCTTTACTGTACATATTATGTTGATTCAGTTAAGATAAAAAAATTAAATCATAAAAAAATTAAATAGATTAGGAAGGTATTCAAAGTTAATTAATCAGTATATAAAGTTCAAAATTAGTTACACTGACTTTCAATATGGATGGATAAGCTTCAAGTCACTGCTTGAGTATCCAGAAAGGCTGATTAAATGCCAGACTCCCCACTGAAAACTATATAGAGCCAGACTGATGAATTTACTTTTAACTGCTCATGGTAGGTAGGAGAAAAGGGGCCTTAGAATCTGCTCTTTCAATCATAACATAGGTAACTCTAACACTTACTGAGATTTGAATGCTATAGACCTATGCACAATGCCTCTAATTCCTCAACTGCAGTCCGATTTTGGTCCCCACTCATCTATTGAAGTTGCCATTCAGTGATATCCCAAATGCCAGTCTTAAGTAACATTTTCCTTTAATTTAGTAGGCCCTTTTCCTTGTTTGACATTATTTAATCTTGTGGAAATGGTTAAGTCATTGGCACCTGTAACACTGCATTATCTTTATTCCCTTTGAATCTTTCTAGCAGTCTCTTCTCTTTTACCCTGTAACATTTTCTTACCTTTATTTAGATGTTTGTGCTTCCCAGAGTATCTTCTCACTATATCTACTCCTCTTGATTTATCTCCCCTACTTACTTGGATTCGATTATACCAATATACTGACAACTCCCAAATTTAACCTTCACCTCAGATTTCCTTTCCTGGGCTTCGAACACATATTTGCCAACTGCTAGAACTCCTTACCCAGATTTGCTTCACAGACTTCCAACTCAAAATGTCCTGAAAATGAACCAATAATCTTTCTCCTTAAACTAGTTTGACTTGGCATATTTCCATTAAACCTCTTGTGCCATTCTTTTCCCAGTCACTCAAGGATTCCTGGAGTGGGACTATTTGTCTCTTTCTTTGCCTTACCTCTGATATATTTCTTGGACCAACAACTTTCTTCTCATTTTTATGATCATGGTTCTGATTCAGATTACTTCAGCCTTCACCTTTAGTATGCAATAGTATCTTATTGTTCTCTCCTGCAATTAAATCCAACCTTTGCAGACTCACCAGAAAAACCTACTAATGTATTTATCTATGTCAACCCTTTCTTGAAAAACATCCAGTGGTACCACATTACATACAAGATTGAGCACAAGCTCCTTAATATAACATAAACACACCATATTAATCTTTGTTTAATAATTTGGATTTACCTTTAATCTCTCCAACTTCTTCTCTTACCACTCCCTTCCTTGAAATTTTCAGTCCAATAACGCAAAACTGTTTGTGGTTGTCCGTTCATACCATCCAGTCCTTGTGTGAATGAACTTTATCTTGGCCTTCTGATTCAAATATATCACTGCCTTATCAATTTCTCTAACGATACCAGATATTATGTCAAATTTTATTTGCCAAAATTAAACTCCTAGTTTTACTCCACCTACCTCTCCAAAGAACTTTTCTTTCTGTAGTCTGCCCATTTCAGTAAAAGCAAATATATTCTTCTAGTTGCTCAGTGAATCAAGCCCCAAACCTAAACCCTTGACTACTCTTTTTCTCACATATCATAATGAATCCTCAGCAATTCCTATCAACCTCACAACCACATTTTTACCAGAATCAATACTGTCATTACCACTACCATTCTAATACAAATCATTTCTATCATTCATGGCTATTTTGAAAATAGCCTCTTAGGCTAGCAGGCATTATTCCTCTTGCTTTCCCTCTGATGCCTTTGTCTTCATATTGTCTTTTCTCTACCAAGTAGTCAGAGAAAACTTTTAAAACATAAATTCTCATGTTCTTCTCATCTCTATCACTCTCTCTCTTAACATGCTTTAGTTTTCTTCATAGCACTTATCACCACCTGATATATACTTGTGTATTCCTGGTTTCTTCCCACTATAATGAAAACTCCATGAGACCACAGACTTTTTTTTGTTTTGTTTTCCACTTAGAACAATGCCTGGTTTATTTTGTTGGATAAATGAGTAAATTAAGTAGCTTAGATGTCTCTTATCTCAGGTAGTTTTCACTGATTAACATGATTGCTTAAGTACCCCTTGCCCATGCCTTCTTTACAATAGAGTACATATCTCCATTTCTTTACTCCATATTGATTGATAGTTTTGGGTAAATCTCTCATTAGATTGATCTTTGAGAATGGGAAACTGCCTCTCTCATCTTTTTAATTTCAGTGCTATCATAGTGCCAATCATCCAACACACATTCAACACACATTGGAACTGGATGGATGGGTGGATGGATTGATGGATGGATGGATAAATATTAAGTATCCTTAAGAAACATTTCAGATCTTCTTATACGCATTAAGAATAAAAGTCCTTTGAACATAAAATACTAAATTATATAGGTATCTGAATGAAATATATATGGTCTTGCAAGATATCTGACTCTTAGTAAAGAATTCGTTGTTTGAGCTTTGACTGTTAATAAAATAATCTGTATCCTTCAACAATTGAATTTTGTGTATTTTCAGAGATCATCTATAGCTGGGTATTTAATGAGTTCCCTTCCTTTGTGGCGGAGGACAGCCGGCGGTTCATTTCCCAGGAGACAGGCAACCTTTATATTTCTAAAGTCCAATCATCAGATGTTGGCAGCTACATTTGTCTGGTGAAAAACACAGTGACAAACGCTCGAGTACTTAGTCCTCCAACACCACTCACTCTACGTAATGATGGTAAGTTGCATGGCAGGGATTAAAATGGTCAGCCACCTCAACTGTGAAAAATAAAGATGTATTTCTAAACACGTAAGCCTAATACAAATATTTTTTTAATTGTCATATTTAAAAGTTCTACACTTTTAGTCTGAGATTTTGTATACCTTAGAGTAAAAATGTTGGCATAGGAGAGTGATGATCTTTGGATGAGAAATATTAACCATAATACTATCCTAATGCCAAAGAGAGAGGGAGCATCTGAAAAGACAAATTGTAATAAAGACTCCAGTTCTTTTCTTTTCGTTCTTTAGTGCTCTATATAACATATGTGTATGAATTGCAAGCATTTTATAGGTTCACTTTTCATTACTTTTTTATTTTAGCTACCTTCAAATTGAATGTTCAGCTTTTAATACTTCATGGTACAGTTATAATTGTTATTATTACTTTTCCAATAAGAGAAGCAGTTGGAACTTTAACTTTTAAGTGCAATTCAGGCAGAAACTATGATTCTATAATTATAGGTATTGCCATATATCTACAGTACCTTCAAATTTAAACACCTCATTTGTAGTTATCGACATTTACAGTTAAGCATTGCATAAAGAAGTCAAGTGCTATATTACCAGTTGATATATGATATGTGGCTTGCTCTGTCATGCAATAAAAAATCCATGAAGGCATTATTAAGAAGTGAGCTTGAGAATCCTGATTGATGTCAAACTTAAAAAATAATCTATTTCGACATTACTTTTTTATATGCTTAGTTTTAGAATATATGCTGCTGCAGTGTATGCTGAGTTTCATCACAAGATTTTTGCTTACTACCCAGTTTCTCATTTTGTATATTTGACATATATATATATGCACACATATATAATATATATCCTATCTGGTAGAGAGTACACATAAAATATCCAGTTTAGAGATGACGAAGCCAATATTAGAGACATGAAGGGACCTGCCAAAGGTCACATAATTAGATAATAGAATGGAGGAATAGCTGGGAAAGAAGAATGGAAATTGGGAAACCAATTCAGACTATTGAAAATCGCCATCTGAGAGGTGATGAGGGACAGAATGAAAGCAGGGGTAATGGCATTGGAGAGCAGGAAATATGCGGGATATTAGAGAGGTAGAATTACTAAGATTTAATAATTAATTAAATATCAGGCTCTAAAGTAGGAAGAAGTTTTGGCACAGTTCATCGAATGTGTGATGATTCTCTTCAAAAGAGATAACACAGATAAAGGAAGGGATTGAGAAGTTGGTAAATGTGAGGAATTCCGTTTTTAATATTATGAGATGAAATTTTCTTGGGAAATCCATGTGGAAATATGCAGTAAGCATTTAGATACATATGTCTAGTATATATAAAAAAGGGCTAGGCTAGAGAAAGATATTTAAAATTCACCATTGTGTACTCCCTCACTGTAGTTAAAGCTATGATTGTGAATATATGGTGTCAACTTCAAGATTATATGAAAATGTCCATAGGGTGAAAAGAAAAAAGAAAATAGATATGATTTTTAAAATTTACTTAGTCAAAAGCTTAGAATTAAGGTGAGTCTCTATCCACAATTTCCATAATGTTTCTGAGCATTGTCTCATTAATTCCTTAAGAATTTAAAACATCTTTGCCTGAAAATTGTAAATATTTGCTGTCTAGTCAACAAATATTTCCATTAACACTATCCATTTATGTAATAATGTACACTTGGATAGTGGCTGAGGTTGACAGTGGCCGTCTTATTTTCACATAATTGACCTAAACATTACACTAACCATCATGAGAGAAATTAGCACATGTATAAATCAGAATCCAAAAACAGACACCAGTTTCACTAGTACTTTAAAAGTTCAGCACCCAGGCCCAAATGTATTGCTTAAATTTATCTTTTATCTTCCACAGTCAAATATTTCAAGAATAATTAAAATAATTTTATTGCTATTTAAATTCCCTTGCCCCTCTGTCTTCTATTGCTATTTTTTGGCAAAAACTTCTAATTAATTCAACTATGCCCTTAATCTGTGATTGCCTTGAGAATCTGAAAGCTGCTAGAGAATTACACCCACCATCGATTCATGATTGCCAAATTCAGATGGGCCTTCATGAGTGTCTCTCAATCCTACTAAGTTTCAGGCGCCTGGGTCGCTCAGTTGGTTGGGCGACTGCCTTCGGCTTGGGTCATGATCTTGGAGTCCCTGAATCAAGTCCCGCATCGGGCTCCCTGCTTAGCGGAGAGTCTGCTTCTCCCTCTGACCTTTCCCCCTCTCATGTGCTCTCTCTCTCATTCTCTCTGTATCAAATAAATAAATAAAATCTTTAAAAAAAAATCCTACTAAGTTTCTGTGGATGGCTAATCTCCAAAAAAAATCTCTGCTTTCCTTAAACTGAACTGCCCCATCCAGTCACAGAAACTATATGTCATTAAATTCATCTTCCGACTAACAAAATTAAATCTAACTATATCTCCATCCATACTGTCCCTCCTCCTATTAGTACCAATCCCTCCATTCTTAACTCTTTCCTTTGGCCTTTACAGCACATTACACTGTTTCATATATAACCAGTACTATGTCTATTAAACTAGTAATTTTTTTAGACTAACTGAATTTACTGATGCAGTTACATTGTTGACTACTTTTTTCTTTTATGAATATTTGTATTCTTCTATGAATATTTGTATTTAAAAAAATCATTATTGGGGCGCCTGGGTGGCTCAGTCGTTAAGCGTCTGCCTTCGGCTTGGGTCGTGATCCCAGGGTCCTGGGATCGGGCCCCGCATCGGGCTCCCTGCTCTGTGGGAAGCCTGCTTCTCCCTCTCCCACTCCCCCTGCTTGTGTTCCTGCTCTCGCTGTCTCTCTCTGTCAAATAAATAAATAAAATCTTTTTAAAAAATTAATTAATTAAAAAATCATTATTTGAGCAGTACTATATGAAAGGTTTAATAAAGCCAATAAAAAATAAAATGAACTGTTATATTAAGGTTAATATTTAAGTTAAAAAGAAACAGGTGGAAAACATTTTCTGAATTTAAATTAAATTATTCAATGACAGTTTTATTTAAGATTTTATAAGAAGATTTTGAAAATTCACATTTCTTCTTTCTGTGAATTATCTGAGGTTATTTAGTGGTTATTTGTCTACTGTTTATTTTTTATTATAGCAAGACATTTATATCAAATGAATGTAACTTTTTAAATTCTTTTTTCTTTCATGAGGTTCTCATATAATACTAGAAAATATCTATGTTTCTTGTTTAATCAAGTTTAAATAATAATTATTGACTCCCTTGTACATATATATACATGTATCTCTTCTGTCTTCCTCTAATTTATATTTATATAATAGCTTTCCATTGCTTACCTTTTCAACTTTGATAATGTACTTAAATCTTTACTGTTCTCTCAACTCTTGAAAAATAATTCTTGACTTCCTATTACATGACATAAAGATATTTTTAACTCTACTTTTTCCTTCACCCTTTCTACACTACATTTATGTCCTTTTGTCTGCTACTTTTACTGTTACACTTTTAAAAATGTTCTAAACTTTCCCATGGACTAAAGCTGAAAATCAAATTTATAAATTGTTACTATATAATTATCATTCAATATCATATTTTAACAGGTTTTTAAGCTATTTTTAGATGTGTACACTGTACTAGATGTGTTCTTTTTTTGTCACTATTAGCCATATTATAATTAAACATAAAGGACAATACATTGTATATACACAGATAATTTAGTTACTTTCACCAATGATGGTGAAGTGTCATAGATCATTTAAGCTATCAAATAATTCAAAAGTAATACCAGTTTGTCTGTGGAATACATTTTAAAATGTGCTCTGCTTTAACAAAACCAAATATATTAGATGTGTTCTTAATAAGTGAAACTTTGAATATAAAAAAGAAATAGGCTAGTAACATTATTAAGATTTTGATATACTTTGAATGCGTTTTTTCTTTTTTTCAAAGATTTCATTTATTTATTTATTTGACAGAGAGAGAGAGAGCACAAGCAGGGGGAGCTGCAAGCAGAGGGAGCGGGAGAAGCAGGCTCCCCACTGAGCAGAGAGTCGGACATGGGGCTTGATCCCAGGACCCTGGGATCATGACCTGAGCCAAAGGCAGACGCTTAACCAACTGAACCACCCAGGCACCCGGTTTTCCTTTTTTTAAATATTGAATGTAGTTTTTTCTTGAAATTCTCCAAGATACAATTAATAGTTTTAATAATAGTGTTGAAATATAAACATGAGTCATCACAAAGCAAATGGTAAATGAAACCATTAGTATGGTTAAGAAAGTCCATGAAAAGAGTATGATATGAAGAGATGTGAGCTTAGGACCAAGTCTTGCATAATCCAAATTGCTTTGGAAGAGTAAAGAATAAAAATCCTACAAAAGGTAATGAGAAGAAGTCAGAGACGGAATGGGGAAAACAGAAGTGTAGTATCAAGAAAGCCAATGGAAATGAGTATTTGAACAAGATGTTAGCATACAGCTCAGAATGGTAACTTGGTACATGTATTTGTTGCCTGTTCCATTTCTAAGACTCTACAAGAAGAAATCCATATCATTAATGAGAATGCTGGAGGAGAGAAAGTATTTCATTAACAAATGAGACATTTTGATACATTTCTGGGAGAATAAAGGAGGATGTGAATTAAAGGATTAAACGGAGAAAACTAAAACTTAGAATAAAGTTTAAAGGATCTAAAGAAGGGGCTAAGGGCCATGTGCCTAGTGGAAGCCTGGAAAAACTTTGAAATCAGTTAGCTGTGGAGGGGGGCATAAGACTGAGCAAAGAGGGATTAAAGGTATGTATGAGGAACAACTGTTTCAGTGAAATATTGGAATCCCACCCCTTCCCTATACTTACACACAAAAAGAACAAAGGACAGATCTCTTAATAATATAAATGAACTTTTCATGGAAGATTAAAGTACTTAATATGATGATGATGCACAACATAAAACCTTCTTTTTCTGGCATTTGGTGTCTGCAGCC